GATTTTGATCAAAGTTTCTTTCCATTTTTCTTGAACTCAAAATAGTATTATTAATCGTCAATTACGAGAGTATACACTGAGAAGGGCAGAATCTCTTCTTTCGTTTGATATAAATATATCAAATTGTATTGTAAATTCGTTAGGCAGGAAATGACTGGGATGCTGTGCAAGAAAAAGTATGAAATTTTTGATTTTTTTTGAATGTTGGCAAAAAAAGATGCGGTACGATCTTGACAAGTGTTTTGGACAGTTATCCATCCACTGACTAAAAAATCGTAAGCATCCAACTTCCATTGCTTGTGAGGGGTGGGTGAGCATGTTCGAGCGCGTCAGGTAAAGTAAACATAAAAAAATGCCGAAAAGCGAATTGAGAATCGTAGTACAACAATTCCACCCACCACGGCTAAGCCAGGTAAATTCTCCAACAAGGCATATATTTTTGACAAAGGAAGATATAAGAATTTCGCATGCTGTATTTAATGCCGTTCCTTTTTATGAAAACGGTACAAGCAGTTTCAATCGAACGTGATCCATCTGGAATTCTGAGCTTTTTGGAAAAAAATGAAATCCAGAGTTGTTTTATATTACGGGTGATTTCTCGCAAATCGGTAGGAAAACTGAAGATTTGTTGTTATTGGAAGAAATATGTTACTACAACCTTGATATATCCCCTACTTTCCGTTCACTCATTTCTCCTTCCTTCTTATGGTACTTAGAATGGGTTTTGGTAAAAAATCCAACTTCCTGTTTTGCCTCATTTAGAAAGTAAATCCTTGAAATCGCTATGACTAATGGCCGATCCCAATTTTTATGATCAGCGTGTCGAACAACCTTTGCAGGCGGAGTTTCAGGCATTTTCACAATTATCCACTACTGTTCACCTATTGTAATCATATTGTGAGGCCTTACTTTATGAATCGGATTTGCGAACAATGCTAAGCAACTCCATTATACCAATTTCAAGGCGTGATCTTAGCCATCACCCTCTAAGAGTGTATGCACTGAAGCTGTAGCGTAAAAAAATGATATTACTGCAGGGCTGATAGCGGTGAACTTTAGAACTTCACCACTATTAGCTCGGTAAAATGGATTACGAAAAACGCCATGTCTTCTTTAAGAAAAATCCCTTGAATAGTAAATAAAAATCTGAATACAATGTTATAAGCTGCGCCTGGTAATGCTCATTTTGTTATATACACCCACATCGACCTCTATTCCCTTGCAACTCAACAACATTTCTTCGTTTACAAAAAGAATTCTGGCCGAGAGAACTCTGACCAACTATGTGTGAAGCCAGCCCCCAAATAAAATACTTTCTAATGAAAGTAGGTAAAAGAAGCACAAATAATTCCGCAAATTCCAATTACAAGAAAAAAAAGCCCGAGAAAAATTGTAAATTGCAAGAAATAAAAAAAAGAAAGAATAGAACACTTAAGATCAACGCTACTATGACCTTACCCATACACTCCGACAGCCCACTAAACATTTTGTTGGTTAAGTTGACAGAATCTCGGACGTATTTCTCTTGATCATAGTCCACAGTGCTTGAGCGCGTGATTAAGTTGCTCATCTCCTTCATCCATGACTTCATGTTCTAGAAATAACACTTGAATTACCAATGAAAAGGAACAAAAAAGTCTTAACAGTTCATAGAATTCCTGCAAAACATTGAAAATACAAATGTTTTTTACCTGCTCGAGATTATACTGGCTATATAGAGCTTCTTCTTCGGCAGCAGTAAGACTTGAAACGATTTTCATCATATCGAACGTGGATTTGTCAGTTCCCTTCAAAAAAAGTTTTGAAACACGTACAGTGGAATAATTTATAGCTAAGTCGCTGACATTTCTGCTGCAAACAAGTGACAGGTCAGCATCCTCGTTGTCACCATCATCACCACCTGCACGTAACATAAGCTCCTCATCGTTCATGGGAGGAGAATTTCCACCTTCATCAGCACCAAGTTCTTTTACTCTGAAGTATGATAAGTTTGGCCTTATTAAGCCCGTACGAAGAGTTTTAATAATAACGCACCTGTCAGCATAGCGGAGCGTATTGATTGTGTGCTCACAAGAAGACATACCTGGACTGATCATGGCAATCTAGAAATGAGCACAATAGCAAAAAACCTTCAAAGTGCTAATACAAAAGAATCCAGGTAGCAAAGCATTGTTTTCTAATTTCTTATAGCAATGCTCTCTATTATAAATACTATATATAGGGTAGTCGAAAAAGTCTTTTCGTATCTTCACATCGAAATTTCCAGAACGAAAGCGAGCGAACCATTGTTGTGCCACACGAACTGATATAGCATCGT